GGGCCCGGGCCCGGGCACGACCGGGCCGGGCCCGGGCCGGACACCGGGCCGGGTCCGGGCTCCGGGCTTTTTGGACACCCCTACCTGAGTACAACCATCCGCATTACTTTTCATCACGAGAGAATCTTTGTTGCTACATTAGCTTAGGTCCAATGTACGAATTTAATGCACCTAACCGTAGATCAAAATTCAACCGGGCGTACTTTTTATTTTTATTTTCCTCCTCGCACGACCGGGCCGGGCCCGGGCCGGACACCGGGCCGGGTCCGGGCTCCGGGCTTTTTGGACACCCCTACCTGAGTACAACCATCCGCATTACTTTTCATCACGAGAGAATCTTTGTTGCTACATTAGCTTAGGTCCAATGTACGAATTTAATGCACCTAACCGTAGATCAAAATTCAACCGGGCGTACTTTTTATTTTTATTTTCCTCCTCCCATTTGCGCATCAGAAAAAAAAAATTCAAAAGAGCAGGGTAAGACTATAATAAGACCCAGTAGCCCTTGGAAAACTTTAAGCTCTGTTGTACCCCAGCCACAACTTATTAATCGTAACCATTTATTACGCCTAGGTCACCTTTTCTGCTGTGTACCGAAAAAGCTAGGAGGAGAGACTGAGGATGGGGCACTGAGCAGCCAGCTTGGACGTGACACTGTCACAGTGTGCACTCTCTCTCTCTCTCCCCTGTTTCTCTTTCTCTCTCTAGAACTCAAAATTTTCAATTTTTCAAAAAAACTTTTTTTTTCCTTATTGTTTTCCTAATATATATAATACTGAAACATGCATCTTTTAGTGTAGCCACTAGCCAATGGTGAAGTCCCTTTCACTGACAAAAAAGCAAAAGCTAGAGGGAAAAAAAACTAAATACTAAAAAAATTAAAACAAAACAACATGGTCCCCCTCTTTTTTATCCTTTGAGATTCCTGTTTCCACACCTGCAATCTTTTCTCATCTTTTTTTCTTTTTCACTTTGTTTTTTTACAGGCTCCCTCACTCTCATCACTTTTTCACAAAAAAACAGATAGGAAAACAAGAATTTGGCCTCATTTACTTTATTTTTTCTCAGTTTTATCTTCCTTTTTCGAACTTTTCTCTCTGTAATCTTCCCCTTACTAGCCCCCACCAAGATGATGAGATAATGATGTGTCCAACACCTAAATAGCAAATGACCCATACCAACTTCCTCTCTTTAGAAGGAGAGAGATATCTAGAGAGAGAGAGAGCTAGAGCTAGAGAGAGAGAGAGAGAGACAGCTTTATTTTTGCTCAATGATTCCAGCCCAGATTGAGAAAAAACCCAAGCTAGCTTTTCTTTGAGATTTCTGTAGTAGTGGTTTTAAAAAAGGTGCAAACTTGATAGGGTTTTGGAGACTGTTCAGTTAAGGAGAAGGAGAGGAGAGGAGGAAGAGAAATTAGAGGGCAGAGGAGTGAACCCCCACAGTTCTTTTTGTGTCCCCAGCTCTGAGAGAGTTTCAGACCCTTGATGGTTTGATATAAAGGTGTAGCCTTGATGAGTTCTTGACCTGGAAACCAACAAAAAGATCTCTCCTTGATGATAAGTTACTGGGCTTGGTTATGTCATTTGGGGTTTTTTTTTGAAGTGTTGGGTCTTTCATGAGTTCTTCTCAGATTCTTCTGAGGATACCAAAGTGGGTTATTGTTAGAATGGCTGGAAGTAGGAGTAGAGTTAAAGAATGCCATGAGTGTGTGAGATGGAGGCTCAACTTTCTGGCTCTTTTGGCTGTGATGTGTGTTCTTGGTTCTTTATGGGTTTTTTGTGGAGTTGAAGATTGTGGGTTTTGGTGGAAGAAAGGCAAGGGGAGAGTTGAAGTTGAGGAGAAAGCTCAGGTCTCACTGGAGCATTTTAATCTTAAAAGCAATCAGCTTCAGGCTTTGCTGTTTCTATTGTCAACAATGGGTCAGGTATTGTTCTTTCTCTTTTGATTTGGTTCGTAATTTGGTCACTTTGAACTGTATACTGATTATGTTGCTTCTGGAAGTATTTGGAGCGAGCAAGATGCGGTTGATGTATTCTTTTTCCTTATCTTTCTTCACTTTTCTTGCATATTATTTGATTCCAACGAGACCCTCATTTCCAGCTTCATAGACTCTTGGATGAGCATGATCTTGATGGATTTCCACTCTAGAAAACCTCCTAGGTGATTTAGAAATTGTATGACCCAAGAAAATCAAATTGAAATAACTAAAATGATGGTACGGTAATTATTTGAGGTCCTCAAACCATAAGACTGGAGAATAAGCAAGGCATAATTGACATGGAAAACATCATGCTGCTACTGCATTTTTGAGTGCCTACAGCTACCGAAAACTCTTCCATAATTCATGGTCTACACTATTTTTGTTGTGCTCAAGAATTCTCCAAGGGATAAGATATTATTGCTATTTCAGACGTTAAAAGACATTTTTTGCGAAGAAACATCTCATCTACACCTTTTATATTTATCGTTATGAGGCCTTAAACTAGGTTATGTTATTGTTTGTTCTACGCAACAACACCCGTTGCCAAAGACCAAAGTACATTTTACATTATTTTTTTTGGGGGCAGTATGCATATATAAAGCAGAATAACCTTGCTTCTTGATTGAACACATAAAGGGCTCATCTACTAGTAAATCATAGACTACATACATTCTCCGAGAAAGTGGTAGAAATAATATTGTGATGAGGAAGTTGAAGAGGAGCAATTTAACCTTGCTATTGGGTATTCTTATTTCTAGTTTTTGTAAGGCATTTTATAGTTGGAAGGCACTAGTGCACACGTCAGAAATATCTGAGAAAACAGGCTTCATCTTTTCCTATTTACATAAACGTACGACAATATGTAGGGTCTACTGTAGGCGTCAAAAATTGCCTATAGGTCTCCGAACACAGTTCGAGACGGAGAGAAGACGATAAATATCCTATTTACATAAACGATGTTGCTGAGATAATCGCTTCGGTTTCTTGATTCATTCGCGAATCAACGAAACTCCGGATTGATCTGATCGTTTGGTAGTCCACGGATATCAACATCCCCATCACAGACAAAGATCCCATGCAAGTAGCGGGAGATAAACATCCGTTGCATTTGTTTTGACGAGAGTTATAATTTTTTTTTTGTTTTCATTGTGTAAGAGTCTTATAAAAAGACTATCTTTTTTGTTTTCATTGTAACGACTAAAGTTGTAATGATACATCAATGAAAATATCAACTTTCATCCCAAACATCTACTTGGGTAAAAAGAATAGTATATCATCAGAAATGAGTGTGCAAAGGCCTTTATTTTAGTGTTGCAATTTGATGTGTGTTCATCCAGCAGCTTAAATCTTTAGGACTGGCCTTTTCTTTACAATTTAGAGCCCAGGTTCAAGTGCATTTGTCTTTACAATTTAGAGCCCAGCTTAAATCTGTCATTTGCATCTCGTTTCTGCATTTTTAAGACCTCTTTGCAATAAATAAGGCATCTATAACTTGGCTCACACATGTTTAATTTTGAGATTATGACTAGTGACATTAAAATATGGTATTGCTATGCAGAAACGCCAATCACTTGTGAAATGTTAGATTTTTCTAGTTTAATTTAGGGTGCCTTACTGTTTATCTATCTTCCCTATTTACACCTTTCTTGTGTTGCAGAAATCGTTTACCAAATGCTTGGACAAGTCCATGACTGAGATGCCAGTCAATACTAGCATATCTCAAGCTATTGATGGATTCTGTTCTAAATGGGACCATTTTGACTGAGATGCCAGTCAATACTAGCATATCTCAAGCTATTGATGGATTCTGTTCTAAATGGGACCATTTGCAAAGCCAACAAGATCAGTGCCCACTGTTAGATGGATTTATTTTGGAAAAGTTAAAACGTTCATCACCTATGGATGGGCACGAAATGGACCACGCCTTGGAAGATATCATACCTTCTACGGGGGACACTGATGTTATGCTTCTAAAGGTCTGTACTCTCTCCAGTATTTTATTTCTTGCAAAACATTTTTGTTTCAACTTGTTTTTGCTTGTGTATTAATTCAGTAGAATGTTTTTTTCTCTCGACCGTGTTAAATGAAATAAATTGACGTATAAGATAATATTTTCCTTATGTTTGGAAGTTGCACCATAGTGTAAGCTATTAAGCAAATATTCAGTTTGGCATAATAGTTATTTTCAAAAGTTAAGATGGTCACTTTCTTATAGTTGCCCTCAGCCAGGTATTTGCTGCTACTCTTAGAAGGCTACTTTCAGGTCTGCATCATATTTTAGAAGTTTCATCATTGTTTTTAGAAAATTCTTGGTTATGGGCTCCTTGCTAACTATTTAAATGAGAAAAGCCTTAGATTGTTGTGGTGATCATGATGATTGTTATGACCTTTGTTTATCTTAATTTTCCTTCCCTTCGTTTCTAGATACCACTTGTTGCATGTCATTTGAGGCTTTGGCTGAGCTTGCCTTATCCTGGACCTTTTGCTGTTATCCCATTGGCTCATTTTGTGTAGTGTTGTGTTCAGAAAACCTGCAATGATGGATAAAAATTTGTCTTTGTTTAGTTTAATAAATTACCCTACAGATTCAAAATCAGCTGTCAAGTTGGAAAGGGAGGTGTAAATGATTGAAAGATGTTCAGTAAATAAATGTAACTGAACAAATCCTAGACTTATTATTTGATTTTCTAGTATGCTAACCCACAAAATATGGTGTCTGAGCTCTGTGTTTTCTCTCAAAATTTTCTTATATGACATACATATGCAGAAATAAATGTAGTCAATAATGCCAGATATGCCTGTGCAGCTCTATAATCTATAAATTTCAAATTACTGTCATAGGATATTAATGGACAAAATTGATTTGCAAATTTGCAAAACACTTTCTATAAATTTCAAATTACTGTCATAGGATATTAATGGACAAAATTGATTTGCAAATTTGCAAAACACTTTCTATAAAGTATAATGAATAATGATCTTATATTAATGGACAAAATTGATTTGCAAATTTGCAAAACACTTTCTATAAAGTATAATGAATAATGATCTTAATTTAGGATAATTAATTCATTATTTACCTTTTGAAGTTATATATGAAGTTATGCACTGCCGTTTTTGTACAAGAATTGTTATTCTTCCCTATTTCACCATGGGAATAAAACTGAGAAGATTCCTGCCTCCTTTTTTGAACAATGGTTTGACATTCATTGAGAATCTAAACAAATGTGTGAAGTAATGTGTTACATTTTTATTTTATTTTATTTATTTATTTTTTGAAAGCTGACCATACGGATACAATCTTCTAAAAAGGGAGAAGAGGCATTATGTTTATTACACTGATTGCTACTTTCATGCATCATGTTCACAGGAGTCACGAAGTGTATTGCGCCCAAGAGGATTGTTAAAGGGCATAAAAGTGTATCTTGAAAGTCTTCATAACATTTTGGGAAAATTACATTGGTTAGTCTTGTTTGTGGTGGTGATTTTTTTCAAAGGTTTTGTTCTTCGTGGAATATTGAGGAAGTCATCGAATCGGCAGGAGCAAAAGCAGCAACAACAGAAGAAACAACAAGATCCCCAGCAACAAAATTCAAAGGTATTAGATATTGTTGGTATTTAGATCAGGAGATATTATCAGATACTATGAGATGTGGTTGGCTATGATTTTATCTCATACTTATTTTATAATATACTCCTAATCTCTATTTAAGAGAGGTTAGGGTTATATGAATAATAACTTTGTTTTCTCTACTTCTCTACGTGGTATCAGAGCATATATACTATATATGCCTAGCTAGAGAAAATAGAAAAGGCAAAAGATTATTATTCATATGCCCCTAATCTCTTTTAAATAGAGATTAGGATGATATCACGAAATAGGTATGAGATAAAATCACTTCCAATTACATATCACAATATTTCATAATATCTCCTAAATCTAAATACCAATAATATCTAACACTCCTTATTATGCTGGACCATATGTACTATATAGGCCTAGATTGTTACAAATGGAAACAAAACAGCTAGTTGCAAGAGCTTTGGTCATGTCATTTTTGTCCGGAATACTTGAAGACATTAACAATCAAAAAATTATAGTCACAACCAATAGAACCCTAGGCGGGTATGCCAGTAGAAGAAATCCTAGGTGGGTATGCTAGTAGAAGAAAACCTGGGCCAGTATGTGAGTAGAAACCCTAGGCATGTCAGCCAGTAGAAGCCCTAGGTGGGTAAGCCCACCTAGAGTTGGTACTAGCTTACCCGCCTACGGTTTCTATTGGCTGACCCACCTAGGAATTTTTCTAGTGGCATACCCTCCTAGGATTTCTACTGGTTGTGGTTGTGACTATAATCTTCTGATTGCCGACGTCTTCTAGTATTTCGAACAAAGATGACATCATCGAAGCTCTTACAACTAGGTGTTTTGTTCCCATTTGTAACAAGCTGGACATATATAGTATATATGCTCCAGCTTGAGGGGAGTGTTAGATATTATTGGTCTTTAGATTTAGAAGATATTATGAGATATCGTGAGATGTAATTGGATATGATTTTATCTCATACCTATTTTATAATATCCTCCTAATCTCTAGTTAAGAGAGGTTAGAGTTATATGAATAATAACTGTCTTCTTTATTTCCCTTTTGATGGAGGAAGAAACTTTTGCTTCTAGGCTTCTCTATGGGGGTTATGGTATCTGTGTGGTTATTTTTTAGCATGAATGCTAGCATTATCTCGAGGAGGAAAGAGAATCTTGCAACTATGTGTGATGAGAGAGCACGGATGTTGCAAGATCAATTTAATGTGAGTATGAACCATGTGCATGCACTGGCCATATTAGTGTCTACTTTTCATCATGGAAAGAACCCTTCTGCCATTGATCAGGTACTGATGTTCTCATCTTCTTTGAATTTCTCATGTAATTTATGGTTTGTTTCATTTTCATTGGATTTGGCAAAACATTATAGCTTCATATATCTTATATTCTAAATATTTGTCTGATTTTGATGACCTCTCTAAGGTTGCTTAAGTTATGAAGCTCATTTATACAAAGAATGTGTAATGATCTAAATTACTTTTTTAAAACCAGCTAGTTTTCTATGTTTTCTTGTTAAGATGATTTCCCCCCTTAGAATTTGGCTAAGTTGACTGGCTGAAACTGCTAGAATGCCTGAACCTTCTTTGTATGTGTGCATGTGTACTCTTTGAAGCTCTAATGGGTAGGTCAGGATGAGCATGTTTTTAATGTAGGATAAATATAGTTCTTACATGCAGGAAGAATACACCCACATAGGTAACAGTGTAACTTTTCCACTAGAATTCTGTCAGGATTTTTTTCCCTTACCAGTAAGGGTAGACTCTCAACGCTAAAATGAGATTCTTAGATGTAGGTAAGAAATACAACTCACCTTCTTTTAGTGGATTCGAATTAAACAGACAAGTCAAACTACGTGTGAGGATAGAACTTTTACAATTAGGATTTGTGAGCATATGATATTAATCGGAAGCGTCTTTTGTGAGGCTCTTTATGAGTAGAAAGAATACTCCTACATATGTGAAATGCATTCGAAAATCCTTACCAATAAGGGTTACAAGTCTAATCAGTGAGAAAATAAAACTACTAGTTGTAAGAATACAACTGTTTCCTGTAAGAATGAAACTCTTACCTATGATAGTTATGAAATATGTCTGGGATTCTTTATATTTTTTGAAATTTAGACAACACCAGTAATGTTAATAAACTCTACTTATGAGGAGCACAAATCCTTATCATTAAGAAATAAGAGGTAACAAATGGATTCGACCTTTCTCTATAAGAACTCACTTCAAATTAAAGAGAGGCCATGAAGCCATTACTTCTTGCAAAAAGTTTATTCTTCCAGGTCGAGGTACCACCCCTATTGGTTACAGTTTCAAGGAATCTGTTACATTGATTATATATTCTACTCAAATTCAACAAGATATTCAAGGAATCTGTTACATTGATTATATATTCTACTCAAATTCAACAAGATATCCTGAGATTTGCAAACACGTCAGCAAAATTCCATTATCATGTTATCGTTAACTGTCAGACTAACTGATGCACTCAACTTAACAAAGCTTTTCTTTTTATTTGTCTCTTACCTCTTATATTGAAAGAATGTAACTTTCTGAGTCAATATATCTTTTTTTTAGAAAACATTTGCGGAGTACACAGCAAGAACATCATTTGAGAGACCGCTAATTAGTGGTGTGGCCTATGCTCTAAAAGTGCCTCATTCACAAAGAGAGCAATTTGAGAAGCAACATGGATTGAAAATAAAGAAAATGGAGACTGAGGATCAATCTCCTGTTCAGGATGATTACATACCTGAGAAGCTTGATCCTTCACCAGTTCAAGAAGAGTATGCACCCGTAATATTCTCCCAGGAAACTGTGTCTCACATTGTATCCATTGATATGATGTCTGGCAAGGTAAATACATGTTTATGATTTCATTTTACATGCAAAAAGAGAGATCATTCATAGTTACTTATAATGCTTAAGAACAACCTTGTGGTTTGGATGAAAATCATACAGAGGTATCAAAAAATGAGACCACACAGAATTATGGACTATTGTTAAAATTTATGTTTGTGATTATTATATAAATAAGTTTGTTATCAGTAGACTTTATTTTACAAGTTATTAATGTAATGTATATTGTACACTTCCCCCTCCCCCAACCCCCACCCCCCAAACCATTGCCGCCACACACACACACACAATTAAAAAAAAAAAAGAAAGCCAACAGCAACGACAACAACAACACACAAAAGAGAAGAAAAGATGAACTTTCAAGAGCCACCTTTGTAGACACAATGTACATTTTTATACATAAATCACCAATTCTCTTTCTTTTTTTTAATTGTTTATTTCTATTGGCTGAACCCTTTGCCCTATTTAGAAGGAAGAAATTCCTCCTTTGTGGGCGCTTACCGCAAGCCTTCAAATGATGACACCTCTTGTCGTACCAAGCACCTTAGAACTGGTACGAGCTAGGGTGAACAAGTGTTTTCTTTTGTATATAAAAGTAACTCATATTTGTCTGCAAACCTATCAAGTCAACTATATCATTCCTGGATTAATTTTATCATATGTTAGAACTTGGGGCTTGAATGAGCTAGTCTGTAACCAAGAGTATTTTTTTGTATCTAAAAATAACTTGTCTTTGTTTGGGAACCTTTGAAATCAAGTATTTACATTCCTAGATTAATTTTACCATGTGTAGGAACCTGTGTTCGTACTTGGCTTTTATTATCTTTTGAGTGAGTGAATTGAGCCGTATTGAGTAAAAATGTGATATTTACTCTGGTTAGTTGTGAAAGGTAATGCTACCTTTAAGTCATTGGCCTAATTGTTTTAAACTGACTTCCATAGTCTATTGGTGGAAGGAGCTTAAGAGCAATAGTACCGTAGAAGTGATACACTTGAAGATAATTTTTTCTTTATAAATCTGACTTGGCCTTAAGAGGATATATTACTTTCTTACTTCAACCATATGTTAACTGAAACTCTTTTTGTCAAAAAGATTTTCTTACTTTTCAAAAAGTTGCTCGAAAAGTCTTTCTAAAACAGAAAAAATTCTTTTTAATACTCCATAAGTTAAAAAGTTGACTCAAAATTGAATAAATCATAGTTTCATTCGAGTTGGTTTGACAATGGCAAGACATAAGGGAAGATTTTGTAAGAAGCAAGAAGATCAAAATGACTGAGAAGATTGAATGTTGAGTGAAACTGTTGGAGCACAAAAATACTGATCAGATTTGATTCCATATACTCCCTGTAGAAGTTATCCTTCTGTAGGAAGCTTCAGAATTGTGAGAGTATGCAGTAATTGGCAACTGATTTTAAGCAGTAGCAATATACCCCGTAATACTGGCTATAGTGAATGAGATTCTAAGCTTATATGCTGCATACTTTGCAGTGACTTGGATTGTAGACGAAGGACCACAAGTTCAACCCTCAATTAGATGAATAAAGCTACTTATATGCTTACCCATCATTAATTAATAGCTGCATCATCATAAAAAGCTTAATTCAACCATCAACATATTAATGCCCATAATATTTTCTGTTTGCGCACAGGAAGACAGGGAAAACATAATGAGGGCTAGAGCATCAGGGAAGGGGGTCCTAACCTCTCCTTTTAATCTTCTCAAGTCCAACAACCTAGGCGTGGTTCTCACATTCGCAGTTTATAACACCGACCTTCCTCCAAATGCTACACCAGAAGAGTGTATTGAAGCTACTGTTGGGTAACTTTCCTGGTTCATTCAACATGTTACGATCTTTGTGTCACTTTTTTTGTGACTTTTTAAGAGTTGAGCTACGCTACTAGTAGCACTATTAATAGTATCCAGTTTGTGGGTGATATCAACCCAAATTTAAAATTCAAAATTTCAAAACTGAAAATTAACCATTGGCTGTAATATACCACACATCAGCTATGTAGTAATAAAACTTCAAAGGATTTCAACATTGTTTCATATCTTGTCAAAATCAATGTTACATTGCTTAATTTCCCCCCCTTGTACATGATTCAAACACGTCCTTTGAAATTTTATTTCTAGGTAATTCATGTGTATTACATCACATCAAGCGGTTTAGGTTTTATGGACAAATTGGATACTACTAATATAATCCTAGCTCAACTCAATTTTTAGTTATTTCTTATTATATTATTTTTGTATAGGTATCTTGGTGCATCATTTGATGTTCCATCCTTGGTCGAGAGGCTCCTTCAACAGCTTGCTAGCAAGCAAACAATCATTGTTAATGTCTACGATACAACAAATTCTTCTATGCCTATTAGGATGTATGGCCCTGTAGGCAGTGGTGCTAGTGAGTTGCATGTTAGTAGTTTGGATTTCGGGGATCCCACTCGAAGGCATGAAATGCACTGCAGGTATCTGTTCTCGTTCATAAGCCTGTATTTAATCCAAAAATGGAATTAGCTTAATCTAATTTAGATTTATTTTTCTGTGATTTTAGGTTCAAGCAAGAGCCTCCATGGCCTTGGTCTGCTATAACTGCTTCTGTAGGGGTTGGAGTGATTGTTTTGCTTGTCGCGTATATATTTCATCAAGCTATTATCCGAATTGAACAGGTTGAAGATGACTACCATGAAATGAGGGAGCTTAAAGTTCGAGCAGAAGCTGCTGACGTGGCAAAGTCACAGGTAAACTACTCGTAACCTTTTTTGTTTTTAAATTTATTGCATCGTGAGTCATGGCCTTTTTATTGGTTATGCCTTCTTTAGTTGAATATTTGGCTCTGCTTTTGTTTTTCACTGCAGTTCCTGGCTACTGTCTCCCATGAAATCAGAACTCCAATGAATGGCGTTTTAGGTATGTGTAATTATTTTTCTCTTGCCTGCTGTAGAGTAGACAGTGAAGCAATAAAGAAAATGAGTTATTATTGCACTTCTATTCTTATTAGGTATGTTGCAAATGCTGATGGACACGAATCTCGATGCAACCCAACAAGATTTTGCAATGACAGCTCAGGCTAGTGGAAAATCTCTAATAGCTCTAATAAATGAGGTACTCGACCAGGCTAAGATAGAGTCCGGTAGGCTTGAACTAGAGGCTGTTCCTTTTGATGTTCGTGATGTCCTTGACAGTGTGCTCTCGATATTTTCTGACAAGTCACAGGCTAAGGGCATAGAGGTACATATAGCTAAAACTGCATGATATACTATTTTCTTTGATAGTTTAAGATTCAAAAATTCTAATTTTGATATCCTTTCAAAATGAGCAGTTAGCTGCATATGTTTCCGAGCATGTACCAGAGGTTCTTATCGGGGATCCTAGTCGGTTCAGACAGATCATCACAAATCTTGTTGGAAATTCTGTGAAGGTTTCTTATATTTTAGTATATTTGTCATTTGCAGGATTTTTTATTCCGACAATATGACACTGAAACCTGTTATTTTGGTTGGACATTTCCAGTTCACAGAAAAAGGGCATATCTTTGTTTCAGTGCATCTAGTGAAGGAACTGAAAAGCTCACATGAAGCTGGCAACACTTTGAGTGGGTATGAGGTAGTGGACGGATGTAAGAGCTGGGAGAACTTTCAAACTTTGGATTTCTCAGGTGAAGGTAGTGATGCAATCAACTTGCTGGTGACGATCGAAGACACTGGTATTGGAATACCTCTAGATGCTCAGAGCCGCATTTTCATGCCCTTCATGCAAGCTGATAGTTCAACTTCACGGACTCATGGGGGAACAGGAATAGGCTTGAGCATAAGCAAGTGTTTGGTGAACTTGATGGGTGGGGAAATGGGGTTTGTTAGTAAGCCTGGGATTGGTAGCACCTTTTCATTCACAGCTGTTCTCATGGAAGGACGGAAGAATTCAGCAGACCTGAAGAGACATGACCCTGACCAAGATGTGTCCGATTTCCGTAGGATGAGAGGATTAGTAGTTGATGGTAGAGGTATTCGTGCTGAGGTTACAAAGTATCATCTTCAAAGATTAGGAGTACAAGTGGACATTGCCATGGATGAAGAATCTGCGATCTCTTGCATATTGGATGCTTGCAACTCAAGGTAAATTTTCTTGGGAATTGACATTTTTCTACGTTGACACTTTGTTTTCTGTGTTTGTGTGTTTTTCAGCTTTAGACCGCCTCACTTAGTCTTGTGTTGTGCCTTAGAAATGCAAAACCATTTGTTGCAAATCCTATGAGCCTAAGAAAATCTCAGTACTCATGTAATGAGATCTCCAATAAAAGAAATAAGGAGATATACTAAAGGGATTGGAGACTTTTTATTTTCCTTTTCAGCTCAGTTCATCACCTTCCTTATCTCAAATTGTTTGACAAACTCTATTATAACTAAAATTCATAAATCTTGAGAAAAGATAACTGACTAATTCCACTCCGAATCAAATGAAACACGTGAGTTGTGAGACAAATAGATATCAGCACAAATTCAAAATTTGCATATATAAATTGTTAGTAGAGTATCGCATAATGAATAAAGAATTTATCTTTTCTTCATCATCATCATCATTTACAAGTCGATTAAACTGAATGCGGATAAATTCTAAAATATTTGTACTTTGCCTCTTTTTTTGTCTCCTCATGACGCTCCTAACTTCTTGTAATTATAAATTGTTAGTAGGTTATCGCATAACGAATAAAAAATTTATTGTTGCTTCATCATCATCATAATCATTTACAAGTTGATTAAACTGAATGCGGATAAGTTCTATAATATTTGTGCATTGCCTTTTTTTCGTCTCATGACATTCCTAACTTCTTGTAATTACATTTTTCTTATCTCGTTTTTTAATATATCTGCACTTATCCATTTTACCTGCAACCTTTTTTACTCTTATCATTCAGTACTCGAGTATATAGAGCATAACTATTCTTAAAACTGTCTTAAAATATTCCATCAACTTCGTCAAATTTAGATATCATACAACTTATTGGTCATGTTTCATATGAAAATGCATATATGATAACTTGATATATGGTAACTGCCTGGAAAAGTCATGTAAAAAATACTTCAAAGTGAAATCTCCTCATATCACGACCACAGTAATAATTCAATACCGAACAGGTGGTATGAGTACAACATGTTCAAGAATGTTTGTACAATGAACAGATGGTGTTAGTATATCAAACAGGTGAATCGGTAATGGAGAGCAAACTTGGGAGCCAATCATTACATACATAAAATAATAGTAGGCACCAAACTTTAGAGCCAGTGGGTTCTGGTTTCATCATCTGTTCTACTGACACTTGATTACTTAGAAGTTAAAATTGTTGCTAGGCTTTGATTTCATGGTAAATCTTGAATGGTGATAGTCATATATCGACAATGGTGCAATTATAGTAGAATATGTTCCATAGGATAAGTGTGATGAAAGTTATCTTCTTAATGTACCTTTAATCAATTCATATAGCATTGTCAGAGCAATCTAACTTCTAATAGAATACCATGAATATTTTCCTTAAGCTTTTGTGGATGTCTATTTCTCCTTCAGAGCTGAGCATATAGACATGGTGCTAGTTGACAAGGAAGCTTGGGGCAAGCAATTGGGCATGGCTTTCCCTCGTCCTTTCAGAGAGCTACAACAAAATGGGAAATTGAAGCCTCAATATGATTTCCCAAAGATGTTTCTACTAGCAACCTCTTTAAATCCTCTCGAGGTTGATGAGCTCAAATCAGCAGGATATGTTGATAGCATGATAAAGCCTCTCCGACTAAGTATGATGGTCGCTTGTCTAAGAAGGGCTTTTGGTAAAACACCTCGGAAACAAGCTGTGGTACTTCAAAGCCTATTGAGGGAGAAGCAGATTCTGGTTGTTGATGACAATATAGTCAATCGCAAGGTTGCTGCTGGGGCTTTGAAGAAGTATGGAGCTATTGTAACATGTGCAGAAAGTGGGAAGGTCGCTATTGAATTGCTCCAGCCCCCTCACAAGTTCGATGCTTGCTTTATGGATGTTCAGATGCCAGAGATGGATGGGTATTTATTCTTATTCCTTGTGGCAGTTGATTAAATTATTTGCCGATTTTCCCTTCTTGAGATTTGCTTGTTTCAGTTGCAATCTTTGTGGAAACGTGTTATTTCTCTCTTTACGGAAACTTTCTTTTCTCAATTATAGGGCTTATCCCACTAATTGTTTTTTCAGTAAACTAAAATTAACTAAAAACAATTAAATAAATATCAATAGGTATAAGTTAGTGTTGGGAATTTTATGGAGATTAACCTGCGGAATTAAACACTAAATGAATAACGACACCAATGAAAATACCGCAAGCAAGCAAACACCAAGATTTAACGTAGTTCGGCAAATCGTGCCTACGTCCACGGGACAGTCTAGAGAGAAATATTCCACTATGAATCAAGAGTACAATCCCTCCAAGTTATACCTGAACTTGATGATTAAATCACAAGAGAAAGATACAGTGTTTGCTCTAGGGCACCAAAACTCTAAAACCCGTCTCACTAAAAATCTCTAACTTTCGCGAAGAAACCAACACGGTACCCTCGACGACGTCGTCGTTCTGAAGACAACGACTTTTGAATCACTTTAATCAAACACCTGAGCTATCCGGAATCTGAATTTTTTTCTTTCTTTTTCTTTCTCTCCCTTGTTTCTCTCTCTCGGATACTGTAGCATAGGTATTGTAGCCGACGGATTACTGTTCATACAAAAAAACAAAAAACAGATTTTTCATATATAGAGTTCTCCAAACCTATTCCTATTTGAAATAGATCATCCAAATCCTCTTCTAGATAGAGTTTTAATTCATGTGGACTTCATGTGAGCCTTATCTTAGGCTAGACCCATAACAATCTCCCCCTCCAGCCCATCGAGGGGGTATGTCAATCTGTAACTCCTTAATGGGAATTCATGTCGGTCAATCGCCGATACAACTCGGTCTTCTCTCTGGAAATGATATTCGTTAAAAAATCTAATGGATTTTTATCTGTGTGAATGTTCTGTAACTTTAGCTCCTCTTTCTCAACGGCTTCTCTAAGCTAATGATATCTCACATCAATGTGTTTCATCTGGAGTGGAATGTAGAATTCTTACTCAAATCAAGAGCACTATCAATAAAGATGTGATAATTGTCCTGCTGCAAGTCTAACTTCTGCAAAAATCTTTTCAACCAAATCATCTCTTTATCGGCTTCTGCAGCTGTAATATATTCCGCCTCTGTTGTAGATAAAGAAACACATTTCTGCAATTTGGACTACCAATATACTGCTCCCCTGTAAAAGTGAACAACCAACCTGAGGTAGATTTCCTGTGATCGAGATCACCTGTCATATCCGCATATGCAAAACCATATAATACTGCCTTCGAACCTCTAATATTCAAACACAATTTGAAACTGCTTTTCAAATATTTTAAGATCTATTTTACACATTCCTAATAAACTTTTCCTGGATTAGAAAAAACCCTGTTCACAACGCCAACTGCATAAGCTATATCTGACCGAGTGTAAATTATGACATACATCAAACTCCATAGTCCATACAGCTGAAGAGTAAGGAATATTTTCCATCTCATTCTTTTCCTCATCTGTAGTCGGGCAAAATTTCTTGCTAAGCTTCAAGTGACCTGCAAGAGGAGTACTAACTGACTTGACATCTTTCATGTTGAATCTATCAAGTAACCGTTCAACATATTTCTTCTGTGGTAACCATAACTTTTTTGATTTTTCTGTCACGAGCAATATCCATACCAAGAATCCGCTGTGCCGAGCCTAAATCCTTCATGTCAAAAAAATTTAAATAACTCCTTCATCCCACTGATTATCTGACTATCCTGACCAACAATCAACATATCGTCCACATAAAACAAAAGGATAATGAAGCTAGAATCTGAAATTCTCCTGAAATATACACACGAATCTGCAATTGTCCTCCGATAGTCATGACTCAACATAAAAGAATCAAATTTTTTGTACCACGGCCTGGATTCCTGCTTCAAACCATAGAGGCTCTTCTTCCACTAGCAAATCATGTGTTCTTTTCCCTTCACTTCAAAACCCTCCGGTTGCTCCATGTAGATCTCCTCTACCAAATCATCATGAAGGAATGCAGTCTTCACATCAAGCTGCTCAATGTCGAGGTCTAAACTAGCTGCTAACCCCAAAATAACTCTAATGGACGTCATCTACACAACCTGTGAAAAAATCTCATTAAAATCAATGCACTTTTTCTGACCAAAACCTTTCATCACTAATCTGGCTTTGTATTTCTGAATCTCTTTGTAGCCATCATTCTTTAACTTGAACACCCACTTGTTATCCACTTTACACCTTCTCGATGAGCTTTCCCCAGATTAGAAAGAAACCTACTCACAACGCCAACTGCATGAGCTATATTTGGCCAAGTGCAAACCATGACATACATCAAACTTCCTACAGCTGAGAAGTAAGGAATATTCTTCATCTCACTCTTTTCTTCATCTGTAGTCAGGCAAAACTTTTGCTAAGCTTCAAATGATATGTAAGAGGAGTACTGACTGACTTGGCATCTTTTATGTTAAATCTATCAAGTAGTCGTTCAACATATTTCTCCTGGGATAACCATAACTTATTGGCTTTCTTGTCATGAGCAATATTCATACCAAGAATCTGCTATGTCGAGCCTAAATCATTCATTTCAAAAGTTGTAAATAACTCCTTCTTCAGCCCACTGATTATTTAACTATCCTGACCAACAATCAACATATCGTCCACATAAAACAAAAGGATAATGAAGCTAGAATCTGAAATTCTCCTGAAATATACACACGAATCTGCAATTGTCCTCCGATAGTCATGACTCAACATAAAAGAATCAAATTTTTTGTACCACGGCCTGGATTCCTGCTTCAAACCATAGAGGCTCTTCTTCCACTAGCAAATCATGTGTTCTTTTCCCTTCACTTCAAAACCCTCCGGTTGCTCCATGTAGATCTCCTCTACCAAATCATCATGAAGGAATGCAGTCTTCACATCAAGCTGCTCAATGTCGAGGTCTAAACTAGCTGCTAACCCCAAAATAACTCTAATGGACGTCATCTACACAACCTGTGAAAAAATCTCATTAAAATCAATGCACTTTTTCTGACCAAAACCTTTCATCACTAATCTGGCTTTGTATTTCTGAATCTCTTTGTAGCCATCATTCTTTAACTTGAACACCCACTTGTTCTTTAAAGCTTTTCTGTCCTTCGGCACATCCACTAACTCATAAGTATCGTTTTTCTCAAGAGACTTCATCTCTTTCTTCATAGCCTGAAACCATCTGTTCTTGTCTTTAGGAGTACGTGTCTCTTGAAAGCTCTTTGGCTCCCCCTCTTCTGTCAGCAAAGAATACTCTGAAAGATGATATCTCATGGATGATCGATGCTTTCTAGCTGATCTCCTAAGTTATGGCTTTGCAAACTCCTGCTGCAGGTGATGCTCACCCTGCTGAGGAGTCTCCTTCTCGTGATCCTGATCACCTTCTCCCTGCTCTGGTATCTGACCGTCATCATCATGCACCCGCTCTATATCTGTAGGATGCAACTGTACTGGAGACGAAACGGGTGGCATATCTAAAATCTTACTAACAACACTCTCTGACTGCTCCTCTCCTGATATCTGTAATAGTCTAATCCTCCTAAAAATCACATCTGCTCGTCTGATAATTTATCTCTTTTTTGAATCACATAGTTTGTAGCCGAGCCCATCTTCTCCATAACCAAGAAAGATGCAATGAACCGTTCTATCATCAAGCTTTTGTCTCTTCTCATTCGGAATGTGTGCAAACGCCTTGCAACCAAACATCTTCAGATGAGAATAGAAAATATCTTTTTCGGACCAAACTCTCTGAAATATCAAAACCCAAAGTAAATGAAGGAGACCTGTTGATTATATAGCATGCAATGCGAATAGCTTCAGCCCTGAAGTTTTTAGGTAACTTCGCCATCTTTAATATGCATCTGACTTTCTCCACAATGGTCCCTCTCTGCAACTCTATTATGCCGCGGTGTGCCGGGTTCTGTCCTCTGATACCGAATACCATGTTTGGAGTAATAATCTCTAAACTCAATAGAAGTGTACTCTCCTCCATTATCGGTTCGCAAACACTTCCAACTTCTTTCATGTTTGCTTCTCCATCATGGTATGAAGCTGCTGGAAGACTAAAAACACCTTATCCTTTGTCCTCAACAAGAAGACCCACATCTTCGGTGATGCATCATCAATAAATATGACAAAATACTTATTACCACCTAAGGACTCCATCTCAATAGGATCACAAATATTAGAATAAATCAAATCCAGGATATTATCTTTTTTTAGAAGGCTTACTAAAAGAAACTCTATGTTGTTTGCCAAACAAACAATAATCATAAGGGGTGAGTGACGCACTTTTGACAGAGGGAATGAGAGACTTCTTTGCCAATATCTGCAACCCCTTCTCGCTCATATGCCCGAGCCTCCTATGTCACAAACTGAGAGTGTCACCGTCTTGAGCCACGCTCAAAGCATCATATGAAGCCTTTACTTGAGTCTTGTATAAATTGCAACATACGCTTCCTCTAGCCACCACAAGAGAGCCTTTGGTGATCTTATATTTTCCTCCACCAAATTGAATTTCATATCCTATTCGGTTCAAAGTAATACCCGAAATCAAATTGAGTCGCAAATTAAGAACATGCCACATATTATTTAAGATCAATGTGCATCCGATATCTGTCTGCAAGTGTATATCACAAAGTCCCACAATCTTCGAGTAGCTGGTATTGCTCATCTTCACATTGCTAAAGTCACCTGCTTTATACGATGTGAAAATATCTCGATTGGAGGTAGTATGACATGTAGCTCTGTATCCACTATCCATTAGGAATTCTGACTTGTAACATGCATACAGTATTCTTCCCTACAAATCAGAATATTATTAGTCTCAGACAAAATAGCTGTAGTATCACTGTCAGCTTTCTTCTCATTTTTGTTTTCAGCTTGTTCTTTCTTTAATGTCCAACAATTTTTCTTGATATGACTTAGCTTCCCACAATAAAAACCTCTCCTTTTGGACTTTGATCTGCCCTTGGATGTGCCACGACCTCTGGACTAGTCCCTGCTCCTGCCCCTGTTTTCCGTGATAAGTACCTGTAAGTTATCTGTGCTGGTAGACTTCCTCCGAGTCTCTTCATTGAATAAACTATTAGTAGCTATATTCATCGATAATACACCATCTGGAGCTGCGTTGCTGACTGTCACAACCAGTGTCTCCTAACTGTCTGACAAAGAATCCAATAGCAATAAAGCTTGTAGCTTATCATCAATAGTCATCTTCATGATAGCTAACTGATTAATCAAACTCTTGAACTCATTCAAGTACCCTGCTATGTTACTTACTTGAATTTTAAGTTCACCAACCGCTTCATAATAAACGCTTTGTTTCCCGCGGTCTTCTGCTCGTAGAGATCCTCAAGCTTCTTCCAAAGAGACTTCGCATTAGTCTCCCTCGATACATGATGAACACACTAACGTCGATCCACATCCGAATATAACCGATCGCCTTCCTGTGTTGATTCTCCCATTCTTTATCAGTCATCTTTTCTGGCTTGGCTTCATCTCCCTCAATAGGGTCATATAAATCTTTACAATACAGAATATCTTCCATCTTGGATTTTCATATTTGCCAATTGGAACCATCCAATTTTATCATTGTGCCAAAATTCTCATTTTCCATCCTAAAGCACACCTCGAACCAGGGCTCTGATATCACTTATTGGGAATTTTATGGAGATTAACCTACGGAATTAAACACTAAACGAATAACGACACCAATAAAAATACCACAAGCAAGCAAACACTAAGATTTAACGTGGTTTGGCAAATCGTGCCTCTACGTCCACGGGGCAATCCAAAGAGATATATTCTACTATGAATCAAGAGTACAATCCCTCCAAGTTATACTTGAACTTGAGGATTAAATCACAAGAGAACGATACAGTGTTCCTTTTAGGACACCAAAACCCTAAAACTCGTCTCACTAAAAATCTCTAACTCCCGCAGAGAAACCAACACCGTACCCTCGATGGCGTCGTCGTTCTGAAGACAACGGTTTTTGAATGACTGTAATCGGACACCCAAGCTATCCGGAATCTGATTTTTTTTCTTTCTCTCCATTGTTTCTCTCTCGGGTACCGTAGCAGAGGCACTGTAGCCGCTGGGTTACTGTTCATATAAAAACAAAAAATAGGTTCTTCATATATAGAATTCTCCGACCCTATTCCTATTTCAAATTGATCATCCAAATCCTCTTCTAGATAGAGTTCTAATTCATGTGGACTTCATGTGAGTCTTATCTTGGGCTGGACCCACAACAGTTATCATATGCGTCTTTCTTTCCCATTTGATTATCCAACTTAATGCATGGAATTCTGCCTTCTCCTTGGTAGATAAAATCGCTTAGCTTCTCTTAAAGGGAGGGGAAAAAAAGAAGGTAAAATCGCCTAGCAATTTCACAATTGATATTACTTGGTACTTATTTTTGGAAATGGGAAAAACTAATAATTCTGTTTGACGGCAGGCTCTCTTTCATTTGTTTCATATAAGCATCCGACTGGTTTCTAACAATTTAACTGCAACTTTTGCAGCTTTGAAGCCACGAGGCAAATTCGAAGTATGGAAACCAGAGCAAATGATCATTGGCACATACCTATTCTTGCAATGACTGCAGATGTGATTCAAGCAACTCATGAGGAATGTCTACGATGTGGCATGGATGGCTACGTCTCAAAACCATTCGAGGAAGAACAGCTCTATACTGCTGTAGCCCATTTCTTTGAGACTGATAAAAGTTGATCTACTATCATAAGAGTCACTAATGGATTGAGCAAGGTCATTGAAGCTTGGCCTACAATTCGCGTGGATCAGAACTTGGACAGATTCTTCAAGGTATTCTTGTCAGGTAACTCATTTGACATGTTACTTGCTTCTTTATTGTTTGAAATATAACACCTTTCAGATATATGTCTGCCATTTTAATGGACTCAAGACATCTATGATACATATTTCATGCATTCCACTAAAAGTTCCATATAAAAAACAGCTGTTTTTACCCTTCTACTAAAGATTTAGGGTTATTTGCACTTTTGTGCTGTAAAGTTTACTCCTTTTTAATCTTGATACCCCTGGGTTTTTGTTGGCACTTTGATAGGCTGTGCTTACAAGTATTAATGCACTATGAAGACTCCTAACCTTAAATGTAGTCCAAGTGTCTCATAGTTTTACACTTAGATTTTGGATGGAATACTAATGTTTATTTAATTTATTTCAGGGAAATCAATGACCGTATTACTTACCTTGTGCTCATTTTATTTACAGGTACTAAATTTCAGAATCTATGAATCAGGTCGGGTATCAGTCCTAGTTACTACTTAACAGGAACATTCGTAAAGATGTCACCATATCTAACCTAGGTAGAGCTTACAGTTGATTCATTTGCATGTATATAGGTCCGTTGAGAAGTTCTTGTAGAAGTGCATTTTTTCCACTTGAGATTTGTCGAGAGAAATGTAGATAAATATGTTATTTTTCAAGTTCGCGATAGTGTATAAATTGGCAATTTGTTGTGTGGTCGTATGAGATGCACGCCCATGCTTGTTCTTGTGATTGAGGTTTTAGTTGCTCGGAACTTCCTGAGGATGTTTGTTAGCAAGTGTAAATATGGAAAGCACTATTATACTGTATGTCTTCTTTCAAGTATGCAAGGCGCGGTGTATAAATTCTCCTATGTGTTGTACTGTTAACTGAAATGGTTTTGAGCTTTATTCTCTCGCATGTATATCTCAATGATTGAATTTCTCTTCCAACTGGTTATAATTGTAAAAGTTAATGCTATTTGTTTTTTTTTTTTTTTGCAAAGAATGACTCTTGGTTCTGGAATCCTTTGATTTGTATCATACCGAAGTTGGCTGACTGCTAATGTAGTCAAGTATGATATGTGCTTGTACTTTAGGATATAATGTGCACAATTAGGTGAATAATGAAGCTCTGTTGTTTATGATTTATAGTTGTGGTCTCCTCTTTGTTATTGTGTAAATTTTCTTCTGCTTTCTGGGTGTTTCTCAATCTTTTATTGTTGGGTTTGAAAAGCTGGCTATGTTTTTATTCAAGTTGTTTCTTGGTCCTTGACCGAGTGAATGAGTTATAATTCTTCTCTATCCATGAGGTCTATATCTTGTTATCATTCAATTTCTGCAAGTGCAATTTATCTTTCTATGTATTTTCTAAAAAACTTGACTCCTAGACTTAGAGATCTTTCATCGGTATGTTACATCTAATTGGTTGTAGTAAAATCCCATCTACATAAAATTAATAGGCTAGATTGCGCTAAAATACCGTTTCACAAATTTAGCAATTATCCATTCTCAGCTGGTTTTGGAGCATTTATATATCATGAATTGTTTAAAATTAGCATGTTAGTACCCTCTGTTATGCAAACGTGAAAATTTTCATCTAAAAGCTCTCCTATAACATTCATACGCTAAGCTTGTAATTTTCTAATGCTAAATCTATCCAAATTTTATTTTTAAAATAGAATGTAAATATGTGTAAATTAGAATTTGGGTATGGTTAACACTAAATTTAACTAATATTAATGACTAAAGATCTCTAAGATTAATATGTAAATGCTATATGATAGAGAACCCTTTTTTTAATCATTTGAGAAACGAAAAAAAGAAAATCAAAGGTTTTGTAATTCTAGCTCTAAACCATGTTTCAATTGGGTAATCTAATGTGTTAAATAGTAATAAATATAATAAGAGTTATAGAATGTAAAGAGACTTTGAAAACCCTAAGTAAATCAGTCCCTCATAGCTTCATGCACAAAAATAAAAAGAGAAATAAAATAGCTCTCAAAGAAGTCAGAGAGAGGATTTGAGAAGGAAGACTTCAACAAGGTGATTGTTTTGTTTTTAGTTATGAGTTCTGGTAGAAGAAAAAGAAAGTAGTATCTTTTCTGGCCATTGGCGTCACCTCTAGCAATGTCCGGTGATCTTCAGTCAATTCTTGGACCGGACCTTCACCGACGGTTCACACCATAGCCACTGAACCCAATTCAAGGTGATGGGTTCTGGAACATCAAACAACAAAAAACATGAGGAAGAAGAAATGAATTTTTTTTGCATATAAACACTTAGTTTATAAAAGTTTGCTTTTAGGTCCAACTTTTAAAGCATGTCCTTATCAAGAACTAATTTGATGAAAAAAAATCTTTTAGCCCTTTATCATAGAAAAGTAAATAGTTTTGTCCAAAACTTTTGTTTAAGCCTAAAGAAAAGGGACAAATTTTAGAATACCCCTAAAAACTAGAAATATTAGTTTTATACCCAAAAATAGTTTGAGTATGGAATCTTTAGTATTGGAAATTTATATTCTTGGATGCTTATAGGTTTGATCAAGGAGTAGATTTTTGGAGTACGGTTCTTCAAATTGTTGTCAGATTTTTTGAAGGTGAGTATATTTCTTCTCATTGGTTGTTTTCTATTATATATTATTTAAATGATAATTTTTATTTTTATGGAGAGAAATTATGGATCAGACATGTTATTCTGTTCATTTATAATAATTGTTAACAAATTTGAATGTGATAGCTATTTAACTTTTACAAGATAAATATTATTTAGTATATGAGATTATTGAAAACAAATCATTTCTAATTTACTGTTCAAATGCATTATTTGAAGAGCTCTATTTGACAAAAAAATTTATTTATTTGTTTAGATTCATGAATATTCTGTTCTCATGAAATTGATAAGAGAAAAGTTTACAAAAGTGTTTAAGCATTTATATTGCTTTTCGTACAAGTGGAAATTGTGAGCTATACTTTGAGCGAAAAGAAAAGTGTTTTAAATGTTAAAAATCCTTTGAAATCCGCTATAGAGTAAAGTGATTTGTTAAAGCCTACTATATGGTATTAAATGTACCGACCAGTATTAAAGTGACCTTTTTGGCAAAAGTAAAGTGGCTTTTGGGTAACCTATGATAGTGCTAAGTACATTCTGTCCCCGGGTTGACCTATACTGAGTCGATACGTATTCCCATGTTACTGGGCTATAATTTTTATAGTCTTAGTGTGACAACTGAGGAAGTTTTGCAAGTGTGAATTTAGATCGATATAGTTTTAAAAGTATTTAGCGTTCATTCATATTGTTTCTTAAATTTGTGAATATTCTTTTATTACAATGTCACATGCTATTCTTGGAAATTTCTCTTATTCGAAATATTATGTGTTTCTCAATCGTTCTTTTTAACAATAGCTTATTTGAATTTTTGATAATTTCTTAAACTTGTCTGATCCGCTAATGATAAATTATCTGCTCACTGAGTATAAACTCACCCCATTGTTTTTAAATTTTTTTCAAATAAAAAGTAGATAGCTTTATTTTAACCTCAGAGCTTTGTGAGAAGAATCATTTAGAGTGTTTGATGCTGAAAGTTATAGTTATACTAGTCATGCTACTATGTTTATGTAATAAGAGTCTTTTGGCTCATTAGAGTAAACTTGTTATAATGTAGTTTTTGCTCTTGGACTTCTATTTGTCAATAAAGTTTCTTTTAGGTAAAATTTATTTATAATATAGAAGTGTACAACAGGCTTAGCATGTGCTTTTTGCATGTGTTGTCGTTGTCATGCATCTCAAAATTAGCTGTGCATTTTGGGGTGTAACAAGTTGTGGTATCACAGCTTAAGTTTAGAAGTCCTAGGCTTAGAAGTCTATAGATATTAGCATTTAGAAATAAATTTTAGAATTGCTTTTAATGATTATTGACATATTGTTTGTTTTATTTATAACTAGATAGCTAGGAACAACATGAACACTACTTTAACTGGAGAAAGTGGTTTGCACAAGACTTTGGGGCAAATGTTTGATGGTAGAAATGCACGTGGATCTGGTTCTGTGGTTCTGGAGGAAATCAAATGGATGCAAATGCTATGCTGCAGATGATGTAAAATCCCACTTCTGCGATGCAAAATTAGCAACAACGAATTAACCAATAGCAAGAATCTCGAGACATTGATCATCCTTGACTACGAAGCAGTATGACAGAGTTTAAGAGGTTGACATCGCCTACCTTTGAAGGAAGTATTGATCCTATGGTAGTTAAAGACTGGATCACAGAGATGGAGAAAGTTTTTACTTATATGAAGTGTCTTGATGGAGAAAATATGGCTTATACAATATATATGTTAAAAGGACATGCATGTGGCTGGTGGCAAATGAAGTAGGGGATTCTGGGAGATGATGCTGACCAAATATCTTAGGAAGAGTTAAGAAAGACTTCTATGAGAAACACTTTTCAAAGACTGTTCGCCAGCAGAAGGAGAAGGAATTCCGCAAGTTGAAGCAAAATGATAAGACTGTGGCTAAGTACGAGGAGGAATTCGCTTATTTGTCCAAGTTTGCACATCATTTTGTTGCAACCGAAGAAGATATGGCACATCGTTTCAAGAAGGGTTTGCAACCCGAGATAAGGTTTCAAGTAAGCTCATTTAAACTCTCCACTTATGCAGCTGTATTGAAGAAATCCTTGGTGATTGAAAATGAGAAAAATGAAAATTTCTCGGTTGATGATCGTAAGCATAATAATATGAAGAAGAGGTTCAGATCAGACAGACGTGGAGGTCACAACAAGAACTGGCAAAATAAGAGACTGTTATGGTGTTCACTCATCCAAGATACGTATATTTACAAAATGATACAATGAGAGTCCTAGCAAAATAAACTCAACTCTTTGGCCGACTCACACAGTCGTCTCTCGGCCTTAGGGTAAGAAGAGCCCTAGTCAACTCTCAAAAGTTTTAGGCATTTAATTCCTTAGTCGAATTACAAGCCCTTGGTTTTTTATCAAGGTAAGCCCAGGGCACGACAGATGGTCGAATGCTTCCGTGCAACTCGACTATCATGGCTAATTACAAGACCTTGGTACCTTATCAGGGATAAACCCAAGGCACAATCACAGAGGACTCGACCCCCACTGACTCATCAAGTCGACTCTCTTGTGTCGATACCAAAGGCGATATTGGTTGGCACGAGAGATCCTGACCTCCCATACGAGTCGATATCTTTATATCGACTCAAGAGAAGGTTATTAGCTGAGATGAGATGATATTCCAACCAGTCGGACATGTCAACACCCCTGAGTCGACGCGAAAGGTGGTGTTGATCGACCCTATCATCAATGACGACCCTACTTAGGGCACTCGACCACTCACTGTGCAATTCTCAGAAGCAATTGAAGGGACATCCCCTGCTACTAATTAAATTGAGAATTTGACCCCAGCTCCAAGCCCCTATCCCAGAGCATATGTCGATATCTCCATCCACCTCGGACAAGCCTTATCTAGAATTTTGCCTGATAGGTCTCCATGACTTGTCAGCTCAATCACTTCTTGGAGAATGCGGAGACACCCTCTCTCATGCTGAAGTGACTTCACCTCCAGTCGCCAGCTGACACCTGTAAAGTGAGGGATGATTCAGTATGCCCACGTGCCTTCTGTCACGCTATCAATCACTTCCCGAAAAATATGAAGACACCCTATCTCGTGACGAAGTGGCTTCCCCTCCAGTCACCAGTTGACAACTGTAAAGCGATGGAGGTTTGTAATCTAAACCCCTCAAGAGCACGCACTACACAAAAACAAGAACAGATAGTTTTGCCACCCCACTCAAGCTCAAGTTCATCAACTGACTTGATCGTCAGAAGTATCACGGGGGAACTTATTCCCGCCCTCTTACGACTCTTTGTGTGTAGATTGCCCAATCATCATAAGTCTAGAATCTGGCATAAAGTCGAAGAAGAAAGCAGTCCCTTGCAAACTCCATGACTTTATTTGTAGGGCCACTCTT